TAAATCAAAGCGTGCCGAGCACGCAGGGCCACAAACCGAGAATCTGTGGTTTGGCAGGTGGTCTTCGTGGCCAAGCGAGGCTGGAATTCTTGGATTCAGCTTTCGGGAAGAAATTCCCGTCGTCAAGGGGTTAAATGTTTGGGGATTGCCAGACTCACACATCAGCCCCCTATGTGATTCCTTAAAGTAACTGGGGAGGATCTTGACAGCATTTTTTATTCCAAGGAGTAACAAGATCAAACGCAAAGAGCTGCTTGACAATCTCCAATCCTAACCATGCCATACATGTACATACATACAATACAGCGACATGTACCAGCACATATCAAACACAAGTACATACATTTACATGTACATGTACCAAATCTTCACATGTACACACACGTAAGTGTGGCCATAATAATGCTACATGTACATGTACTTTCAACATTGGATACACCGGTAGTCATACGGTAGCTCTAGAAATGGCTAACATTTCCAGCATGGACTGCAAATGAGGTTACTAGTGCATGTCTAAGCATCCCCAGGGACTGTGAGTAACCAAAAGAGGGTCCAAGGGTATTCCTAAAGGCCTGAGGCCAAGGTAAAGGGACCCACAGGCCTGAGGGAGGAATAGATGTGCAGGAGTGACCCAATTATGCCAGTGGCAGGTGTGTTTTGTGACACACCTCTGTCCAAAATGTAAAATAAGGAAAGGAAATTTTCTGGGATTCTGTGACTGAACTCTTTTTATTTAAGCCAATGACTAAGCGATGTGACAAACAATTCAACAATTAAAGGAACTTTTTAGTTTCCCTAGATTCAGTGTTTGAGTTGCTGTTCACTGTACTCTCCTTGTGAGAACACTGTAACCAGTCAATTTTGAGTTTAGCATCCCACCGGGTGCTTTACTCGGGAATATACACATGCTTGATGTCTTCGCATGCATTCATGCAAATGTCATGCGCTAGCCTACACTAGTGAACCACACATGATCACGCATCAGCCAATCAGAATAAACCAGTGAGAACCTTGGTGTCGGACAGCATGCAATAGTAATGAATTGTATGCTACAGACAAGTGTTGCCAGACATCCAATGTTTAAAGATGAGTTTACAGAAAGCTTGCAAACGTCTTTTCCCTTAGTAGTCTTAACATTGTTATTACCTATTCCATCCGGCAATTTCTCCAGGCAGTTCTGTGAGAGGGTAAGGTCTGTTAGGCTTTGTAAACCACTGATCTCATCAGGGAGACTCTCCAAGCTGTTTTCAGAGATGTCCAGGACAGTCAACCTGGTCAAGTTGCCAATTTCCTAGAGGCAAACAGAGAATGAGCAAAGGAAAAAATACCCAAACACTGAAATTGCTTCGTGAATCCTGAAATGAAGAGCTCAGAACATGGCAAGATTTTTCTTCGCGCAGACACCTTTCCCGGAGAGGAAACAACTTAGAGCATTTCTGAACTTACTCCGTCCCCATGTGTGGGCTTCTTTCGCCAACATTCACAAGACCAGTATTTGCTGCTACCTGTGACAGAAACTGGAGATGAAACATATCCATTTTCCAGCAACTGTCACATTTCCACAGACGAGCACTATAGGCCAAGACTAAAGGCCAAGAAAGCATTCATTTCCCACTAAAAGCCAGTAATGTGTTTCGTGACGCTAATTGAGAGTGCTGCCCGTAAAGGGGGCTTCTGTTGCCTAGAAAAGATGCACATGTCATTCCGACCATTTCTGTCTTGAGATCTGAGGCTTTACCGGTGGCAAGGAGCTCAGTGCATTGCAGTCCAGCCAGAGCTCCATCAGGTTGGGTAGTGCCCCCAAGGTCTCCGGTAGCTCCTCCAGCTCATTGCTGCCCAGGTCCAGGAGTTCTAAGCGAACCAGGAAGGACAGCGACTCTGGCAGTGTCTTCAGGAGGTTTTCGCGTAACTCAAGGGTCAGCAGATAGGACAGCCTGCAAAAAAAATAATAAAAGCAGGCGACATTTATAATGTATTTATCTGTAATGTCCAACCCCTGCAAAAAAAAACGATATTAGTTCAGATTTTAGTGAAGCTCATTCATTCACCCACTAAATGCAAATTTAATTGATATTTTGAAAAAATCAACAAAGACCATTCCTGGGTGCTAGGAAGGTGATGTCCATTATGAGTGACACTCAGCGCATTTATCATGTTTGCAGGCAAGTCATGAACATCTTTGTGTGTACTAACATGATTGACATCACAACAGTGACCATTTTCACTTTCATCTCAGCACATTAGTAGCCTTACCATATCAACGGCCCATACAAGAGCTTACATGAGTGTATGTATTGCACATTAATAATACAGGCTGGCCCCAACCAGACTCATACACATGCTACACTTCAGTGCTGCTCAACAAAATACAACATACATGTGCTTGCTGAGTGCACATACAAGACTTTGGGAGATTTTGGAATTCAATCTTCTTTTCCAGAACTTTCTACTCATGTGCCCGTAATTGATACAAAGTTTAACAATTTTGGCAACCCATATCCTCAGTGAATTTTCCCACTTACCGTACCAGTAACTAATAAAATCTAACGTGACAACAATTTGCCAGGCTTTCTGAATTATTTACATCATGTGCTAAGTTACCTTTTTACTTTATTTTCTCAAACACTCCATTCTACTTTTCAATGTGTAGTCTTCATTTTATGTGTTTCCAATGCATTTTTATTTTAATTTAAACAATCAAATGTACCCTTACAATTAACCCTACAACATTCCCAGATGAGTACAAATCGACATGCATATGAACAGCTGCTTTTCTGTATGCGATAGTCTTTCAAGCATGTTGAACTGACCGGTTCCGTCAGTCGCTTAGAACATATCTCCTTCAGCAAGATGACAGTGGTGGTAGGCCTACGGGCGCCTCCTGACCACAATCGGAGACGATCAATCAAAGCAATGAAAGCAAAGGCAGCAAGGGGAAGTAGGGTCCACTGACTGATCATGCCAACTTGACATGGATACACTGCACAAACACGCCCACTGTAGACATTACAGAATGTCACAAGAGCCGAGCGTGGGTTCTTAATATGGGTGGCTATTCCAAAGCAAACAATACTCAGTTTTCATTTCCTGAGATCAACTTTTTTTTCTTTCTTTCTTGGTTCTTTTTTTTTTTTTTTGGCCAGGGTAATACACAACCGGACGTGATCAATACAAGAACCATTATGGCTGGATCAGGAAAAGCCAGACTAAAGGTGATATAGAGCTTACTTGTACATGTATAGCACTTCAATACAATCCCTAACATTTTACAATAAAAGCGTAATGTAAAAAACAGGATATAAATTTGCCTTTATAGGGTCGTAGAGCAAAGGTTACACAAAAAAGGTGTTTATTTTTCATTTTTGTGTACATGTATAGTACATACATGTACATGCAGACTTGGGACACATTTTATGTACTAGCACATGTACACAGCATGTACGTGTACATGTATGCATATTATGTGACTGTTCCACTGAGCCCCAAAGTGTAGCATGTTCATTAATGGCCGGCAAAATTCACTAAGTCACAGGAAATCAAATATTAGCAAGCATCAGTGCAAAGCTTCTTGCCCATTGTAATTTACACACATACATAATTGTACATACATGTAGGCTACACGAATACATGTTCCCTAGTTGAGGGGACGTACCAGACATTACACCAATTTTGTGGGGACCACTAACATTGTGGAGGCAGAGAAATGTCCAATCAACTTAGTCTAAATTGGCCTGACAATGAAAAACGAGTAAAATCCATACATCGATGTACAACACAAGCTTCAAAAAAACGTAAATCCTTTTACGACTGGACCGATCACATTTTCTTCAAGTATGTTCCCAAAAACCGTAGTCCAACATACCGATCGTGGCGATTTTGCGGCTTCCATCAATCTCTCACAGTGACGTTAGAGAAACATTTCGCTGCATCAAAATTCTGTCAAATATGACGTTCACAACGAACATATTGTACTCTCCTTCTTGTTGAGAGAAGTTTTGAAATCAAGTCCTCTGGTGTAAACACTTTGACATAAAACTTTAAATGAATTCAACTCCATTTGATTTGCACTGGTAACCAACCAAATGTCAACCATAAGTACATATTATGCCTAATATAATCATTTTATAAATCTGAAGGTGCTAATTTGTATTTTACATGATCAAAGTCACTCTTTTAGAAGTTTTGAAAAATGACATCTGGAGTTGCCTTTTGGTCCATTTTATGAAGAACATGCCAGCTACCAGGTACATGTACAAGTACTTGTAGTTTAAGGATACATGTAGCGATGTATGGTACCCATGTACATGAAACTGTATTGGCAGAGCACAATGTAGTTTTCTTTTTTTTTTAATGATCATAACTTTACACAATGGTATATGTACCGTTACATGTTTTTCTGTCGAATCAACATTCTGAGATGAAACACAAAATCCAACATGAGACAAACACGAGTACAGTGCTGTACATGTACGGTATGCATTATGACATTAATCAAGTCTGCAACAAATGCAAACATCAACAAAGACATTTTACGCCCTAAGTTGTAGCACTTAAAGCACCAGCGACTTTTCAACTATGATGAGATGATGGTCTCTGTTATGATGAGACCTGGTCTCTCAGAGTTAAAAAAACAGGCACAGACCTGCACATGTGCTTGCTCCTTTGGTTGACACTAATGAAGTTGAGGAATTTCAAGTCACAAAGTCAGAATCTATTGGCAAATACAAGTTGTGATTTACTGTGGTCTATGCACTCAACATGCTGCAGTTGTTTATTTGGACAAATACATTTATGCAGTCTCCCGCTGGAGTAATACAGACCGTACATGTAGCACGTACATGTAGCATGTAAATGGCTCAAGCTTTGCAGACAACACACAAAGGCATGTACATGCCGGTACATGAAATGTACTGTACATGTGCCTAACCCAATACACGAACACTAACACATAAAACTGTGCAAAGAAGGACTTCTGTACATGTACTAACACATGTACTGGTATAATAATCATGTACATGTACATTCTAAGAGTACTGTTACAACTCTAATTTGCATCAAGATATGAGTATTACAGTGCTAAAGTACGTGTACATGTATGCTGCACACTGTTACATGTACATGTACATGTACCGGTACATGGGGAGAACAACCCTTTGGCACATGTACACATTCATGTGGATCTAATACACTGACTGTATTTTGCAATTCATATTATGTGCATGCACGTACATGTATGTGCATTTGTTTATCAATTGAGTCAGATGTGGACCGGTATCTCTACATTTATTCCAAACCATACCACATTCATACATCATTCAAACATAAGTGTACACTGTGTGTGCATACAAATCGACACATTTTGTTTTTCATAATCAATAATTTCAGTTGGATGCAAAAATTTGATGCACACACACGAACAGGTGTACATATACATTGTACATGTAATAAGTACATACAAATGTACTGGCGGTACAGTATGGGGCGCCATCAGGGCCAAAATTAATATTTCACAAAACGAATGTTCCAAACCAAAACACAACTAAAAATTAAAAACAAACAAAAGAAAATCGAGAAAGTGAAAAAGGTAAATTAAAAACAAATATCAGAAAAATAAAGCAGAGCTCTAAATCCTGCTTTGTGAACAGCATTTGTGAAATGACGAAAACCTCAAACGATCAGAAAAAAGGAAAAGATCAAAGGACAAAAATAAACCATAAAAGGACAAAAATGAATAATAAAGGCACAAAACCAAACGATCAAAGAACAAAACCAAAGGATCTAAGGACAAAACTAAACCATCAAAAGGTCAGAACTAAACCATCAAAGGACAGAGCCAAACAATCAAAGGACAAAAAGAAACGAACAAAGTAAAAAGCAAACATTGAGGGCAGCAATTGCCGACGCTATGACAGCACACGTAAATCCAATCTCGAATCCAATGTGTCAAGGAAGTCATAGCTCGTTACTTTGGGAGAGTTTAGTTATCGATAGAAAGACGATTTTGTCATGATAACCGAGGAGACCGCAAACCATTCACTCAACGCTCACTGAAAGAGTGCTAGAGATATGGATGCATTACCACCAACAGATGTCAGCGGTGGTAGGCCCTCAGCCTCCTGTATCGGCCTACCACCAGGCCTAACATTAGTTGAGATGCCAGTAGGCGTGGGCCCACTTCTGTTATGCCCAGTTATACCTAGGCGTAAATCCCAGGGGATGGGATATATATATCCCCCCACATTTTAGAGGTGGGGGATTAGCAATCGAATCATCCCCCCCACTTTTTTGTAATGAGCAAAACTTAAAGCAGATTGTGGAGAATTTCTAGAATTTCCAAACGACTATGTTTGAAATATCACGAAAAAGGGGAAACAATTTTTCAAAGCTGTAAACTGCCATGCCGATGTAAGATTAGATTCTGAATGAATTTACATAAACACATCTTTATCAAGAACATCGCCCCGTATTTAGTGTAGTGTAACCCCCGACTCCCCGCTTTTCACATTTTCATGGCCGGGCAGTCATCCCCCCCAAATTCCAGCACCAATGCAGTTACATCAGTATTTCTGGCAGCACTGGCGGTGGCACAACCGTAAGAACGCTGCCTCCTCTAGGATATGTGAGTGTCAGTGCATAGACCCAGATGAGATTGTTTCTATGGTGCAGCTAGTCCAAGCCCTGCAACAACGAGCTATGACTTCCTTGACACACTGGATTGGAGATCGGATTACGCGTTGTCATAGCGTCAGCGATTGCTGCCCTCAACGTTTGCTTTTTACTTAGTTCGTTTCTTTTTGTCCTTTGATCGTTAAGCTCTGTCCTTTGATTGTTTACTTTTGTTTTTAGTTTCTTCGTTTTTTTTATCGTTTTGTTTTGTTTTTTATCATTTATTTCTGTCTTTTTATGTTTAATTTTGTCTGTTTTCCTTTTTCTA